CTGCGCCGCGGCCCGCCAATGCCACACGGAACCGCGAGACCAACGGAGGAGCTCAGTGTTGAGATGTTGAGCACCTTCAACTCCCCTTTTCCCACGTATATCAGGTCTACTTTTTGAAACATTGAACAATATTTAACCTCCATGAGATGTATGCTCTCAATTTGCTTCTGAAGAGTCTGGAGGCAGCGATGGACGGTTCTGTACCAGGTTTGTCGGTGGCCAATACTGTTCCAAGAAAGAGACTCATGGCGACGATCCGAATTAGAACACTGCTTGAAAGGAACGGTCAGCACCGGCCGGATTGTCGATTCAGAAGCTCCGCAGGAGGAATAGCGATTCAGAAGCTCCGAGTGGGTTCAGCAGTGGATGGCATTGTCACCAACAATAATAGGATCCTCTTCTGCATCGCAGAGGTTTTGTCGAGACATCAACATGGCGCAAGGATGTCAGCTGGTGCCGTAGCCTCCATCTCCAAGGGTCAAAGGATTGAAGCTTCCACCCAGGAATTAACCAATAGCACTTGCTGTTGAGGGCCTTCAAGAACTCATTGCAGTCATGTCAGTGAACTGCTTGTCTTTCTGCAGATCGCTGAGGTATGGGGTCTTTGTAAACATCGGCTGCGCCAAAGATGCTAGACTCAACGTTTCGAACCAGCTGGCCAAGGCTGGACTCCAAGGGAAGTTGAAGAGCTCAATTCCCTTCGCTACTAGGGTGGAGGTCATTCGCTCTAATTCCCTGTTCAACTTGCTGAATGTGGCCAGATTTCCCTTCAATGTTCTCAGGCAAGGACCTTCAGGTGTGTTGTGTTTGGAAGGTAGAGAAACAGAGGTCTGGCCATACAGTTCGGTGTGCTGGTAAGCCTCCTCCTCCTCCTCCCCATGCTTTGCCTGCAGGATTTCCAAAAAGGGGACGAGATCTATGGCATGACGATTGAGTCGGTAGTGGCCAGTTGCAATCAGGATGATTTTGGACGTAGCGCCTACCATGTGGTGTTAGATGGAAATCACACCCTTTGTGACACAGGTGCGGAACAATGGTATCCGCATGTCGATACCGGATCCTGAAGGATCATGTAAGGGCAGTCTTCTTGGTGTCTAAGGATTTGGAGAAAAATCAGATCTCTTGTCTCTTGGAAGACCCGGAGCTTTTCGTGGAAGATCCACCACCGCCACGGAGAAGACGCTGAGGCGCGGTGGAGGATCGTGAAAACGAAGCGGAGACGCAAAGAGCAAAGGTCGACATGATATTTTAAATTACGAAGGAAGTAAAGGAACATGTTCTAGGTCCCAAGTAGTCTCAAGTCTTGATTTCCTACTGTATTACTGACAGGCTTCGCCAACCAGCGACGCCCCTGGGGGGACTGCGCCTATCCGCAGGCTCTTTGCACAGCAAAATCCGATGATTAGCACAGCTTCTTCCGCCTGCGCATACACACTCCCACACAGGTCTGATGGAAAAAGCCTGGCAACCTCAGCTTCAGACACACGTACGCACATGCACTCGCGCACACGCACACGCGCACACGCACTCGTGCACACCCACTCGCGCACGCGGCGCGGGTGCGGGCACAGCCAATGTGCAACCTTTGCGTCCGCGAGCCCTGTAAACACAGATAGCCCTAGGTTAGAAAAAATGTTCAAAAATCTGCCCACATGGGTGCAGGGCGTGCTATTGGGGCTCTTGAGCCCTGCCGCCTGTGCAAATAGCTCTGCTAGGGGCCTTCTTTTTTCGCGCGTGCGCGGCTATGAGGTACATTTTTGGATGACTTTTCGTTACGTCGTGCTTGCAGGGCC